GGATTTCTCGACAGTTATAATAAAATAAAAATTGTTTAAATTGATTCACTATGTGTTGTACAAATTCATTACATGTTAAATCATCGTATGACATTGAAATTTGTTCATTTTAATGGAGTTGCAGATGGATTTTGAACTCACTACACACTAAAAGTGGCCGAAAAAGATGGAAGAATAGTATGCAATAGGACTTCATTGACCGGGACAGCTATGTGTTGCTTTTGGACTTATAATTTGTCGCATTATTTTGCAGTTATATCATGATGTGGACGTCAAACAAATTATTTTTATATTTGTTCACCTCATATTCATGTGTGAAAAGACATTTTTATTGTGTAACAGGTCAAACTATTTGTAAGGAATCTCTTGTAAATATATTGGATGATCAACGATAGTACCACTAAATTCCTTTTTTGCCAACTTGGATGACATTTTTAGCCAATGATCTCAAATACTGGACCATGAAGTCGGTGATATTTTAGAATACATGGTTTCTTATGAAGATGACTCCGATATTGATGAGTTGATTCGTAACATTCCACCATCCAATGTTATTGTCATAAGTTTCTGATGATAAAGTTAGTGGGAGTGAAAGTTCAAATGTCAACAACGCTTGATGTAAGCAAATACTGCTTCATATTATCAACTATATTTAAATTTTCTACTTTTATTAAAGATTATGGGTTAGTACATAACTGTAATATTTTGTGTCCGATCAATCGTTTTACCCGAATATTTTGTCTAATTTACTACTCAATAGTTTACAGTTAATGAAATCTTACATTTTGTAAAGTTTAGAACGTTTTTTTCTTCTCGAATAAAAGTTGCAATAGTAATAACATGAAAATGACATTATAACAAATAATGAACATCATCATTATCATATACAAAATACAACTTCAAGCTTTAAACATCATTTAGTTTTACGTACTTGTTGTTGGAACGGGGTTTGAGCATGTGGTGCGATTGTGTCCAACTCGCTCCATACGATACGATGAATCTCATATTATTACTCATATATGAATCTCATCAATGACAAGCATTCTGCACAATTCATTTATCGAACTTTGATATCATACAAGTGGCACCTATGAATAAATTAGGGTTAATAGCATAAAACGTCCCTACGTTTGGCACTTGTTGCGGAAAATGTCCTTACGTTTCTTTTTTTGCATTTTTGCCCTTATTTTAACTTTTTGTTGCGAAAAACATCCTTCTGTCCATCTGCCGTCTATTTCACAATTAAATGCACACCTGACTCACTTTTAATTTCAAGCTTGAAGGGTAAAATGGTCAAACACTCCAAACAAACTCTGTTTCCCACGATAAAATACGCACGTTAGTCTTCATACTCAGAACTCTTCACGTCCCCTACTACCCATCCGACTTCAGCCCTGATATGATCCCGGGTGCACCATCAATTTCAAGAATTCATTAATTGATTGGAGAAGGTCGAAGTCAAGAATCAAGCCAAGTCAAGACTTCGAAGTAGCTAATAAAATTGGTCACTTATGTATTCGAGCAACGGAGTCTAAAATCATGAAGTTCACGTGTCAAGGAGTAAATTTGATGAAGGGGCCGAAGCCTAATTCAATTAGGATTAGCTTGATAATTGTAACCGAAGACGGAGCCAAAATCAAAGGTTGTGCGACCGCACAACTTCCAACCCTTGCGGTCGCATAGGAGCAAACAGGAAATTTTTTGGCAACATTCGGAACAACCATGCGACTGCACTAAATTGTGCCATGCGATCGCATAGCACTAAACGGAGGCGAACTCTTTCCTTTTCTCGCGAAGTGCTTTAATTGGTTGGATTTCTTAATTTTGAAAACTCTAATATTATTAGGACTCTAGCACACGGTTTTTCCATATTTTAGGAGTTTATTTTTTCATCTTTAATTATTTTTCTATGTTTCTAGTATAAATAGGATTTTCTTTCATAATTGTAGAAGAAGACTTTTATTATGAAATTAGAGAATTCTCTCTTGAAGCTTTGCTTCATTTATCTTTGTTCTTGAATGGACAAATCCGAACTTATCAAGACTAATCATCTTGTGGCGTTCAAACCATCGACTTGAATCATTGAATTGTGTAATCAAAGGGTCTTTCGCGTCATCGTTACCGTTGGGTTTTTTGGTTCATCTTTTATTGGTTAAAATCCACAATCCAGGTGTGATTTCTTCAATCGTGTGATCAAGAGGTCCTTCACAGCAACGTTCTTGTTGGGTTGCTTGGTTCACTATTTTGGGGTCAGATCCATAAACCTTGGTCATATTGGCGTTCTTGGGATCCGATTCAATATCCTGTGGGCTCGATTGCAACCTTGTTGATCGGGTTCGCATCAAACCCTTTCACATGTCATCGACGATTTCAACACGAAGGGTTGGCAGTTCTTTGCACGCGGTAGAGACAAACTAAAAGAAGGTACGTAGGTCGCAATGAAGCCGTTATTTTTGAAGTTAGTGTTCAAAATTTTAGACATTGAATGATCGACGCTTGGTTGCTAATTTTTTATAGGTTTTCTCATTTTTTCTCGCAGGGTTTTCTGTTGAAAGCGAAATGCCTCATCCATTTATTAGAGGGCTCAACGATGCCACACCTACATGCAGTATGAACATTGGAGGGGGTTGATAACTATTTTCCCTCCATTAATCTTAATTTCTATGTGTAGTTCAAGTTTGGAACTTGATTAAAATCGAAAATGGGAAATAGGAAGGAAACCAAATGTTTTGGGAGAAATTTTTGGAGGGTTTTTACGGATGAATAATAGATTATAGGGTATTGGTTGGAAGCTGAAATTTTCGTGGTTTTGGCTAGGCTTTAAGCATTTATGTTGTGTAGTCCAAATTTGATCAGTGTGTATTTGTTCATTTCCACCACTTCCATAGCATTTTTCACTCTTCATACTCTAATCTCTGTATTGTTTTGCATGCAGGTGCAAACTCAGGTTACTTCACCATTGAATTACATCATGGAGGCCACTTCTATGATAAGCCAAACAATCTGTCATACGAAAATGGATTCGTGGTGTTCTTCGACTTTGTCCATGCCAAAATGTTTACGAGAGGTAATTTGACAAAAATTTTAGATGCGGTTGGCAATGATTCAATGTTGGAGTTTTACTACAGAAAACAAAAAATGAGTTTAGGGAAGGGGTTGAATAGATTGGAGAGTGAGAAGGATATAAAGGAAGTGCTTAGGGATAGAGGTGACCGTCCAATCGTGCAGATATATGTTGTCGCCCCATTGCAATTGCATGCATCGATCCCAGAAGATGATGCACAATGTGATGAACCACAAACTTTTGAAGGTTGCTATGTACCTTCTGTGAAAGAAACTAAAGGTGTGGAGCCTGAAATTGATTGGTCGGATCAGGTTTTTCACGACAATGCTGAAAAGTTGTGGTCACAGTACGAGGAAACCCTTCAATACCATTACAAAGAAGATCAAAATGTGTGTCATATGGGCGTTGAAAATGATGAAGTTGAGGTTGAAGCTGAGGTTGAAGGTGGGGTTGAAAGTTTGGTGGAATCTAATTATGAGATGGAGGATCAGCTAGTATCTACTGCTGAAACTGAGCGTGAAAGGATAAATTTTAATTTTGGATTAGGTGTGGGAGATGAGCATCAAGTTAGGATTCAGATACCGACTATGGGGACTCCGATGAATTGCAAAGCATGGATAGTACAGATGAGGATGATACAACTTCAAGAAGAAGGGCTTCAACTGATGCTTTCAATTCAAGGACTGATATGGGGAACCCAAAGTTCAGACAAAGTAACTTCAACACATTGTTTACCTCACTTGTAGCCCATTCTCTATGGATGACTAACATGATTGTATTTTCTTATTGTTAGGTTTGGTATTTGAGTCCAAATCTTTGTTGAAGGCTGCCATGCCATCACTTCATACTCAGTTATGAGCAACAGAGAGATAAAGTACAAGAAGGATGATACATCGAGATTGAGAGCCAAGTGCAAAGGAGAATGTCCCTAGGTTTTGTATGCTACCAAGGAGCGTTTCAAGACAACCTGGGTAATCAAAACATATGCGACAGGGCATACGTGCTCGATGGTGTATAAGAATTTTCGAGTAACTTCCACGTATTTGGCAGATAGATATTTATCTGATTGGAGGTCCGAACCAAATATGTCGGTCAGCACATTCACGGAGAGGGTTAAAAGGGAGGATTTAGGTGATATATCTCTCTGGCAAGTGTATAGAACTACGGAGAAAGCGCTGGAGAAGATTAGGGGAACTATGGTGGACCAATACAAAATACTGTAGGATTATTGTGAAGAGTTGAAACGGACTAATAGTGGGACCGCAGCATTTGTTGAGGGTTATGCTGGAGAATTCCGACGGTTATATGTTTACCTTGGAGCTTTAAAGGAGGATTTCATTAGGGGGTGTAGAAGGATGATTGGTCTAAATGGTTGCTTTATAAAGACGGAGTATGGTGGGCAGTTATTGTCTGCAGTTGGAGTGGATGCAAACAATGGTATGTATCCAGTAGCGTATGCAGTTGTTGAGGTGGAGAATGGAGACAATTGGAGGTGGTTTTTAGAGTTGTTGAAAGATGATTTGCATATACACAATGGCATGCACAGGACATTCATCTCAGATAAGCAGAAGGGGTTGGTTAATGCGATTGAGTCGTTGTTTGAGAGTGCGGAGCACAGAACATGTGTTCGACATTTGTACAATAATTTCAGCGCGACGCATAAGGGACTGGCTATGAAGAATTGCCTTCGGGATCCAGCTAGAGCCACTACTGTGCCACAGTAGCTTTCACATATGCAAAAAATGTTAGACCTCGACCCGATTGCGTATGGGTAGCTAGAACAAAAACCTGCCTCCCATTGGAGCAAATCCCACTTTCGAGAGTGGACGCAGTTTGACATGTTGCTGAACAATTTGTATGAATCATTCAACAGCACAATTGTCACTGCAAGAGAGAAGCCCATTCTAACTATGCTTAAGAGATTAGGGTATACTTGATGAAGAGAATTGTAGCCCGTAGGGAGGCAACTGTTAGATGGACATCATTCGTAGGCCCTAGAATCCAGAAGATTCTCGAAAAGAACAGTAAGCTGTCAAGGTTTGAATGGGATGAATATGCGGGGAATGAGAAGTTCCAAGTTCGACACAATGCAGGCATTATAGTACATTCTGTTGACCTCAGGGCAAGGACTTGTACATGTCGTGGGTGGCAGTTATCCGGAATCCCTTGTTGCCACGTGATTGCCTTGTTGGTATCAAGAGGCCTTAATGTTGTTGATTATGTACATGCCGTCTACAAAAAGGATTGTTATTTGATCACGTATACGCCTTCAATTTCCCCAATCACAGGACCAGACTCATGGCCTAGTCCAGGTCTCAACCTACTTAGGCCACCTGCATACACAAAGAAGGTCTGGAGGCCAAAAAAGAATAGAAGAAAACAAAAGAATGAGGTGGAATCTTCTAGTCAGGCAAAGAAGTCTAGAATGTCTTCGCAAAATGAAACCCCTTCAGAGACAACTTTAGCAGGCATATCTGGTGCAAAGAAAAGAGCAGGCCAAACTCAGAGCTATCGAAAATGTGGAGAATCAGGGTACAACAGTAGGAGCTGCAAAGGGGCACCACCACCAACAAGGAATTAGGCACAATCAGATCATTTTTTTGGTTTCTGTAGAATGCAGTTTAGGACTATCTTGAAGTAACTGTTGAACTGTAAATTTTTTTTGTTTAAACATATAAATGCTATGTTAATGAACATCTCTATTTTGCCTACATTAGATTCAAATTTGGCTATAAATATTAACTATGTTATTAAACCTTTTATTGTGCCATTACTAACCTATTTGTTCAGTATATTCTGCTACTTTTTTAATTTGAAGTTTGACCGGTAAGTGGAGTTGGTGGGTTGATACGTGTGTGGGGTTGCTTGTTGAGTTTGTTGTGAGTTGCTGATGCCGTGAATGAAAGGGATTTCAAACAGAATGTATAGGGACAATTTTTGCAAAAATATGAAACATAGGGATGTTATGCGCAAATAGGTGACAAAAGTAGGGATGTTTCATGCAATACAAAATGAAACGTAGGGACATTTAATGCAAACATTGTCAAAATTAGGGACGTTATACGCAAACATTGTAAAACGTAGGGACATTTTATGCAAACATTGTCCAACTTCAGGAAAAGCATGTTTACGGCTTTAGTTTATGGTGCAGATTTCTGGGACTAAGCTTGGTGAGTTTTTGGTAATGGCGAATGATAGCTGGTATGAAAACCAAAATTTGTTTTCCAAAAACGCATCAATTATGGTGACGATGAACATTCCATTTTTGAAATGCATCAGACATGGGTGATGATTAACATAGGATTTCTGAAAACGATGAACAGTGAATTTTCGAAGATGCATCAACCACGGTGATGATGAATAATAGGCTTTGGCACTGTAGTTTGCGGAGAATAATTTTTTCTTTTTCTTTTTTCGGAATAACCATTTTATCGTGGGAGTAGAGTTTGTTTGGAGTGCCTGATCATTTTACCCTTCAAGATTGAAATTAAAAGTGAGCCAGGTGTGCATTTAACTGTAAAATAGACGGCAGATGGACGGAAGGACGTTTTTCGCAACGAAACGTTGAAATAAGGGCGAAAATGCAAAAAAATGAAACGTAAGGACATTTTCCGAAACAAGTATCAAACATAGGGACGTTTTGTGCTATTAACCCAATAAATTATATCAAACATTAGCAAATCGATAAAACTAATAGTTCAAATGTCTTTCTTGACATTTTGTCGAGTTCGACATTTTAACTATTGGTCTTCACATTCTTGTTCGATGGTTGAACTATTGGTATTTACGATTAGCACTATTTTTTTAATCAATGATTCTATTATTCATTGCATATTATATATTCATATGTTTTTCTTACAAAGTCAAACATCAAATTATGTCATTAATTAGCATTAATGAGCAATAAATGTACCCACAAAGATATCTACAAGGGTAGGTTGGAGATTTCGCATCCAAAAAAAAAAATGGATAACGTAGTGACATCTCCTGCAAAATCCCGAAAGCCGAAATTGCACCCATCTATTTTCTCAATGCATATATCTTGAATTTGGTAAGCTCTATCAATTAACAACATTAATATTATTAAAATTAATTGGTTTCAGCAGAATGACTAGTGGAAGGTTTAGCTGTATTTTCCAATTAATAAAAACTGGAATTTCATTTTGTGTAGTTCAAACTTCAGAGTAACCCAGAAAGAAATTAGAACTTGAGGTAGGCACCGAATCTAGAAAGCAATATAGATAATTTATAATGAATGCATTCAGGAGACTAGACGAAGCAATAGTACAATAAAAGAGATTTTTATGTCCCCCCCCCCCCCCCCCCAAAATATTGTTGAATACAATTCAATTTTTTGCCGAAACAACTCATAAAAAGCTGAAGTTTGAGAGAAGCCAGAAGTTCAGCATTTGAAGCTTAGCATATACTATGGTGAGAGATCAAGCATTGGGACAAGAGTATAGAATCTGATCCCAAGAAAGAAAGATGAAAATAGGGGAAGGGACAAAGTAACCATCTCCATCAAGAAATGCAAAACGCACGAGAAGAAAGGAATATCTGCTTCATAAATATCATTTTCCATGCAATAAATTATCGAAATTGTGGATTACATCTCGTACACCTGTAATTACAAATGTGGGCAATTTTTAATGGTGCCCACTGCCAACAATAGATTCAGCAGCAATTTCACTACTTGAACAAAAAATTGTCAAATTTTGATCCATATGACAAAATACAATCCAACCGACACTCGGACCGCGACGTAAATCAGGTAAGGAGGAGGTCGAAACATTGTAACCGTCGCGTCCGAGACCTGACATTGTGGTAACACAAACTAAACAAGGCTAAACACGTTCATATACAGACTCAGACCACAGAACAACCTTTGGTTGACGGGAAACTATAGAAAAAAACCAATTTTCAGTCGAAGCTTGATGAATGGCTGCATCTTCCTTGGAGGTAATCCTCGACCAAGATGTTTTGCTCGGTGCTGCTACTAGAACCGGAGCCTTCCTCCAAATTAAGCAATGCAAGATTAATAAAAGATTGGAGGTTCGTCCCTGACTGCTCACCATCAACACTATCTACTTCATCTGAAGCATTGACCTGCTCAGTTGCCCAATCAAGAGCTTCCGGATCACCTTGAAGGAGTTCGAGGATCTGTTACGAGTTAGCACCAACAGTTAAAATGCTATTGAGACGACCATATTGCTACTATTAAAAATAGGTTAAATTTTATGGCTTACAAGGCTAATTTGAGGGCGAGATTGAGGCGCACGTCTAATGCAAAGGATTGCAGCCAAGACCATTTTCTCAAATTGAATGTAGTCATAAGCATTAGTAAGGTTAGGATCTAGCAACTGTGAAATTTTCCCATCTTTCATAACTCGATTTGCCTGGAAAAAAATCAGCAGTTTAACTTTTAACTAACAAATTGTTAGGAGATAAATCCTCAGCAGCACAAACATCTTCTGATATTTTAATTGAAGCGATGCTCAAATCAATCATAAATGAAAATAGCATCTTCAAGGAAATGTTTAGTTATCTCAAGTAATTTGAGATTAATGATTTCTAAAACCATTCCCAAGAGTTTGATGACAAAAATACTGCTCAATTGTGCAGATTTTTAGAAGTCATGGGAAACAGGTAAAAGCAAATTAAAACTTGCATACATAGAAACAGATACATACCCACATTACCAAGCTTTCTTCCCCCTTTGGAAGTTCATTATCAATGGGCTTTCTACCAGACAAAAGCTCAAGAAGTACAACACCAAATGCATAAACATCAATATTTTCATTCAATTTGCCATGCATAAAGTATTCCGGAGCCAAGTAGCTGCCACAGGAAAAAAATGTCATCTCCTGAAACTAAATGACATATAACTAAAAAAAACTTCAAAAGAATACAAAACTCACCCAAATGTTCCAGCAACATCAGTGGTATCAATATGACGCGAAGAACTTGAAGCCCAAGTAGCAAGCCCAAAATCTGAAAGCTGCAAAGGCCAATATGTGGTGTTAATACGAGTAATATCTCACAAATACTGAAGTCAATGAAAAGTAAGCGGCACCTGAGGCTCAAAAGCATCTGAAAGAAGGATATTTGAAGATTTCACATCCCTGTGAATGATGGGTTCAACTGCTGCATTATGTATATAGTCCAGTGCCTCAGCAATGCCCAGAGCGACTTTATATCTATCTTCCCAACAAAATGAATTCCCAGTTTTCTTAGGACCTAATTCAGAAAGCGGTTATCCATTAACACCAATTTTAAAACATCATGCAAGTTTATTCCTCTGAAAAGAAGGAAAAAGCATTTATTATATACCATGGAGATTGTCTTCTAGGCTTCCTCTGGATAAAAGATTATAAACCAAAAGTAGATTGTTTTCCTCAAAACAGATGCCAACCAATGAAATTATATTGCTATGATGCAAAGAAGTGATGATTTCAATTTCAGAAACGAAGTGCTCCAACACATCCTCTGAAGGTTTAAGAATTTTCACAGCCAGTTCCTTGCCTTCTGGTAGACAGCCTCGATAAACTTGACTGCTTCCGCCTTTACCAATCAAGTTTTCTGATAATATAGTTTATAGTCAGTGTACGAAACCCAAAAGGACAGCAGTAAAAAAAATTGCAAAAGACAGCATTC